CAATTTTAGTTGAAGATTCATGGGTAAAGGCATATATTGTAAAACACCATGAACATTATCCCATGACCCTCCAAAACACAAATCTATCCAAACATGATCAACATTAGATGATTTCATGGTTGTAAATTAATTTACTAAACAGACGAGCTGCGAAACTAAAACCTGTTGCCGGATTGGGAAGGATGTCGTTGGATATAGGAACGGATGTCGCCGGAGAGAGTGATAGATGGAGATGGAATGAGTTGCGATTTAGGGATTTAGTTTATGATTTGCTGCTGTTGCGTAGTTATATACCCAAAATTTCAGTGTTGTGATTTACAGATTCTCGTTGCGATTTACGGATTATCGTTGCGATTTACAGATTCTCGTTGCGATTTACGGATTCTCGTTGCGATTTACGGATACGCGTTGCGATATACGGATACGCATTGCGATTTACGGATACGCGTTGCTATTTACGGATACATGTTGCGGTTTACGGATACGCGTTGCGATTTATGTGTTCGCGTTGCGATTTTCATATTCGCGTTGCGATTTTGCGAAACTGCGATTTTCAATCGCGTTGCGATTTTGGAAACTGATTTGCGATTCTGGGGATCGCGTTGCGATTTTTATTTCGCGTTGCGATTTTGTTGGTCATTTTGGCAAATCCAAAAAAAGTTGGTTAAAATCGTATATTATAAGGCATTTTTGGTCACTGAGACGATTTTCTCTAATAATAATAACCCAATTGGTTCTCTACTGGACTAGGATTTAAGGTTATATATCTTTCACTCTCGAGCATCGAATGGGGGGAGTCAAATAAACATGCCTGCACTGTTCGTTTACGTCCCTCAAAGCTGAAGGGATAGGTTACCACACCAACAGTTAAATAACCAGCCTCTTTGGCTATCTGGGCAACAACTGGAACAGCACCGGATCCAGTGCCTCCGCCAATGCCTGCAGTTATAAAGACAAGATCCGAGCCCTTGAGAGCATTTGCAATGGCATCTCTAGATTCCTCTGCAGCTTGTTCACCCAAAAGTGGATTTCCACCGGTGCCTACATTTCAGTCAGTTGATTCACATCATTAAATCAAATATAAAGCAAGTAAATAGCCCTAATACAAATCACAAGAGACGAAACGGTATTCGTATTGATCAAACAAGAGTTCTTGACCTAGTCCCCGAGTCAAAAGCTCCCCAATTTGAAGTGGGTTCTCAGCAGCAGACTGTAGTAGGGCTTGGGAATCCGTGTTTATCGCATAGAAATCAATACCCTAATTCCAAAACAAAGCAGCAATGGCATCAGTAATTTCCTCCATGGAAGTTAAACATCGTGACTATATTAATGCATTCAAGACCAAAGTGTCTTCAATTATCATCTCCATTACCTTCATATACGCAGTTTAAATTCAACCTAACGAAATTTCCGCAAAAACAAACAAAGAGAGCTAAGTTTTCAGCTCATAAGGCAAATTCACATAAAAACCATTGACAAATCATCAAACATTAATTTCAAAATGGCACCGAGTTTATACAGAGGAAAATTTGAAATTAGCTTACAACTTAATTTCCCAAATTCTCAAACCGACAACCAGGACCCATCAAACCACAATGTCGGCTAAAACCCACCAAGGAAACCTCTTAAAAATAACACTTTAAAGTTCCAGAGTCCAAAAAGATGGGAAACCGCCCACAAAATTCTCCATTTTCCAAACTTTAAGCTAAAATCACTTCAAGAAACAACATTCTATGGATTTGAGAGTAAAAAAACCCGTGAAATTTCACATAATTTGCGAGCCTTAAGCAAAACCCAATAGGATAACAGCTGAAAACTAACCTGTAGGCCGCTACCGATCATTCGGTTAACAGCATTGTTACCACCTCCGCCAACACCAACCACCTTTATCTTAGCAGTTTCCATTGGAGCAAAGGAACAGCTTATCCCTCCAAAACGGTGACGCTTCCTCAAAGGACTTTTCTTCAATGGATTTTTTGACGAAAAACGTAGTCTCGAAGAGGAAGAAGAAGAAAATTTTATTGATATTAATTCCTTTGGGTTTATTACTCGAAGTGTCGCCATTTTTTGGGGAAAAAATGAAAAGGGTTGAATAAAGGGGGTTTCTTTTAAATGAATGGGGAGGGAAAGAGAGAGGGTTTTAGTGAGATTTTCAGTAAATTTTCATAATTTTATGAGAGGGAAGGGGAAATGCTCTTGGGAGATCACTCACTTGAACAGATCAGGTCCCAATGGTTTTTAGCAACAGAACATTGCAAACGGTGTCCTTTGCTCTTCTTCCTTCATACTTTTTGTCTCGTGTACCCCCATCGATTTTCCTTTTTGTTTTCTTCAAAACGAATCAAACTGATGAGGCAAAATACGATTTTAAGATTAGCTTAAGCAAAATTTGAAAATAAGGTAAAGTCTAAACAAAAAGTTAAATTCAATATATTTATCCAAAAATACATTTTAAATTAGAATTTGTTTAAATTTTTTTATCATAATAACTAAAGCATAATTCTAATGTAATTAGTGATGATGGATGGATGAATGAATGAATTTCAGAAATAATTATGTATGTTAAGATGTGAATCCCCAACTTATTAAATATTTACATAAGTTAATTGAATTTATTAAACTCCTTGCCAACTTATAACCATGAATTATTTAAACAGAAATTTTATGAGTTCTTAATATATTTCTGGATGTTGTTAAAGTTGCTTCTAAGTTGCAACATGAGATCAGACAGGAAAATTGAACTATAATCTTTTATTTCATCGATAAATTCCATAATCTCTGATAGAACAACTCTAATGTTTTATGAAAATTGAATAATAGATAATAAGTGTAACAAATGAGAAACTGATAGTGTCAAGCTCAAGCTCGAATTCGGCCTAGACACAGAACCAACATCAAAAGACACAAATAATTCTTGATAACTATATTCAGATGTCGATTCGCGGTCTGGCTGTCAGCTTACCGATAATCTTCTGGAGGATGTACTTTAAAGAACTTCACTCCGCTTCACATAAAATGGGGACAATGAGTGGTTTCATTTGAGCAAGATATGCAATTGCCCACCTATCAAAGAAAAAAAAAAGAGCATTAAAAACTAGAAAGACAATCTAATAAGACCATGTTTACTTACTAATAAGTGCTGCATATGATAAAAGTAGCAATTTAGCTAGAATCACTTGATGAACGAGCATCCCACACCCCAAAGGTACTCCTACATAGGTCTTCCCCATGAACACCAGTAACTAAGGTAAACAACGTACAACCTGAGCCCTTGAAAGTGCTGGCGCAATACAGTCCAGCCGAAATCCCGTCTCCAAGTCAAGTTCCTCACTCAAATCCTTCCGCCAAAAGAAAAAGCACTTTTGGGAGGTGAACCAGAGACTAGACCAACTTAATTCTAAGGAATTATGCCCCCCATAGACAGAACTGCGTATTAGTGATTAGGGAGGTGAGGAAAGAAATGCATGCATGTAGATTTTGTCTCTTGGAGGTTTGATTAATCTATGAAAGGATGCATATTTACGAGCTGAATATACGAATCCATCATTTGTATGAATAGTACACAAGCATTCAAGAGTGCTGAAGAAAGAAGAGTAAACATATTCACTGTTCTTTTAAATAATAAAATTCAGAGCTTTATCATCTACAATGGAAGCCCTTAACCTACCTTATTCCACAAACATAGCAACCGTCAAAGTCTCATGCATCGGTAGCATAGCAAAAAATAACAAAGCATGGTACATAAAGTGCTCAGCCTTTAAAATGTATATTATTCAATGAATTCATTGCTAAAAAATCTAATTGAAATGCTAGACCAAAAGTAGGGGTTTCACAATTCGGTTAAAATCGAATTAACCGATTGAATGGAAATCTTTTTGATTAATCGATCGGTTAATTTTGAGTTCATCGAATTAATGAATTTATTAATTATTTAATATATTCTTTATAAATTATTTAGCTAATTGGTTTTTTTAAATTTTGATTTTAACCTAATTAATCGAATAAATTTTAATATCTAATATATATTATTTATAAAATTTAGTTAACTTGGTTAACTCGGTTAATTGACCAATTAACCGAACTTAATCTGATTTGATTGAAAATTTTCAAAAGAAATTCAATTCGATTAACCGTTAAAGAGAAAAAAAATTAATTAATAGATTTTGAATAGTTCAATTCAGTCGGTAACTGAATTAACCGATTGAACACCCCTAATTAAGTGTAAAAATAACGTAGACAAATAAAAACATTATATCAATGTAATTGTTAATTTTAACAATAAATATTTAAAACAACAATACACTATTAATGATAATTTTATTAAAAAAATAAGAACTAAAATAAAATAAAATAATAAAAAAATAATAATAATAATTTAATGAGTAATAAAATAATTTAATCTACAATTTAATATGAAAATTTTATCTTTTTTTAGAGATTACATTTGTGGTATTTTATTTGTAGTATTTACTTTGTTTCATTTATTTCGGAGTTCATATATAAGTTACTGAATAAAACTAAAATGTATTCGACTTTTACTGATTAAATTCTGTATATCCACTAATTTGTATGGTTAAAAATTTATTAAAAAAATAAATGTAAAAAAATAAAAAGGATTATTTTTTATTGTTGGTAGTCAGATTAAATAAAATTAAAGTTTTTAAATGAAAAACAATACATAAATTATATTATCATAATATTTAATTTAAATTTTAAAACAATATAAAGAAATTAAAATATATTCAAACCGATTTATTGGTCCACAAATAAATTATTCCGACAATCTGGACCATTTATCTCCCATATTTTCATCAAGTGGCATGTTTAAACATAAATAAATTATAAATCGTACTTCCATTTTTAAGATAGCCTATGAATGAAAAAGAAACAAATTTGGGCAAAATTCGGAAATCACCTAAAATACAAGTACTAAACTAGCAAAATAACAAAACAAGAGTGTCACAGTAGCAAAACATCAAGCAAACAAAGAGAGAGTCCAAAAAAGAATCGAACCGCCCTTCTAAAAATAATTTCCACCTACTCCTTGGCTCAACGAGAGGCTCCCCGAGATTCATAGATTAGGAGGCTTTTATCAGCCCTTGAATCTAGTCTCTCTTCTCTTTTTGTTTTCTCGGTCTTCGTTGAACAAAAACATGTCAGACCTAGACAGGCAAATAGAGCAGCTGAAGAAGTGTGAGCCCTTGAAAGAATCCGAAGTGAAAGCTCTTTGTCTCAAAGCCATGGAAATCCTTGTCGAAGAAAGTAATGTTCAAAGGGTTGATGCTCCTGTAACTGTAAGTGTTCACGTCTTCTTAAAGATGGGTTTTTTTTTGTGTGGTTAATTTTAGTTCTGTTGGGTTGTTTTTCGTTTGGGTTTTCGTTTGGTGAAAGTAAAAAGTTTTAGCTTTGTGTTGGTTGGTAATAGATGCTTTCTCGGTTGTTTTGTTTAATGGGTTTTTGGCTCTTTGGTTTTTATTGACATTTTAAAGCTCGGTGTTTAGGGATATGAATTATTATGTCTAATGTGTATTTGGGGGGAAAATGGGATTGACTAGGGTTTTGGAGGAGAGTTGATTAAAGAAACGGAATTGACTAGGATTAGAAGCTGGGATTTTGCTTTAATGGTTGGATTTGGTTAAAATAAAAAGTTTATGTATTGGAGCATTGAACACGGGTGGAAGTCAAATGATGGAATTAAGATCTAGGGCCTTTGAAGTTTGGCCAAATTAATGACTAGATTTTTGTCAATGGAACAGTACTTTTGACAGCATTTAGGTTGCTTTTCTGGTTCCGAAACCTATAGCTCTCTTAAACTTAATACCATCCTTTCCTTTTTCATGAACTTAGGGTTTACAGGGTGTTTTGCTGGATTGATGTAAGTCTAAGGTACACGATTTTTGTACGTATATACGGTGGAGGATTAGGTTACTGTTACTTCCTGGAAAGCTTGGGCTGAAAATAAAGTTAACCGGAAATTGTTTATAGAAATTATGTTGCTGTTTTTAATTTGGATACTAGCCTTATGCAATTTGGAATACTCATAGTTCTTTTGATTTCTTTGCATAGATATGTGGTGATATTCATGGGCAGTTTTATGACATGAAAGAGCTTTTTAAAGTAGGAGGTGATTGCCCTAAGACAAATTATTTGTTTCTTGGAGATTTTGTTGACAGAGGGTTTTACTCCGTGGAAACCTTTCTCCTTCTATTGGCCTTGAAGGTAAACTATAGATTATCATTTTCTTTTGGAAAGGTTTGTTGAAATGTTCTTCTTCTCTGATATATTGAGCTTCATCAGGTGAGATATCCGGATCGCATAACGCTCATTAGAGGAAACCATGAAAGTCGTCAGATCACACAGGTCAAACAGTTTTGTTTTGGCTGCTGTATTATATTCTTTTGTTTTCGGAGTATTCAATTTCTGCCATTTCTTAACAGGTATACGGATTCTATGACGAATGCCTGCGTAAATATGGCTCTGTTAATGTTTGGAGATATTGCACTGAAATCTTTGATTACTTAAGGTTTGCCAGTTTCTATTATTAGAAAATATAAATTATAATGGTTTGCCGCTGAAGAATTGTGAAGGGAGCTATTTAGTTGCTTATAAATATTCACAATTAAACCAAATTTGAAAAATGCTGCTTTCCACATTTGCTGTCTGGATTAAGTCCCGTTGATGCTCCACTGACAGTTCTTGCTCCCTCAAATGTACTTTCTTTCGGGTCCTTTTAAGTTACTTTCTGGACAACTTATATTTTGTCAATTATTGTATGCTAGTCTTTCAGCACTTATTGAGAACAAGATTTTTAGTGTCCATGGTGGTCTATCTCCTGCAATATCAACTCTGGATCAGGTCAAAGAAGCTATATTAGATTATTTGACAATTTTCCCCCTGTAGCTTTGTGTTTGCGGTACTGACATAATCTCTTCCAGATTCGAACGATTGATCGGAAGCAAGAAGTACCACATGATGGTGCCATGTGTGACTTGTTGTGGTCTGACCCTGAGGATATTGTTGATGGTTGGGGTTTGAGTCCCCGTGGTGCTGGTTTCCTGTTTGGTGGCAGTGTTGTTACTTCATTCAACCACACAAACAACATCGACTATATATGCCGTGCACATCAGTTAGTTATGGAAGGTTACAAATGGATGTTTAATAACCAGATAGTTACTGTCTGGTCAGCTCCCAATTATTGTTATAGGTAAATTATCAACTTGAGATTTCCAATTCCATTGTGCTGTAGCTTAAAGGTTTGTTCTTGCATATTGCACAGATGTGGTAATGTTGCTGCAATTCTTGAGCTTGATGAAAATCTTAACAAGCAATTTCGTGTGTTTGACGCGGCACCTCAGGTTTGTACTAATTTGCAATTGGTTCCAAATACAGAAAATGCCTGAAAACTATTTGTAATTCATTTTTTTTCATGGAAATATTTACAAATACTCCATACCATATTACCACCTTATCAAGTGCGGTCTATTCAAAGTTTTTCTTCTCATTACGCGTGCTAGGTTGATTACATAGTATGGCTTACTGAAATTCATTATCAATTCAGGAATCAAGAGGCACTCCTGCCAAAAAGCCTGCACCAGATTACTTTCTATGAAATGGATGTGAAGCTTTACCTTTCCTACTTAATTACACTTAAATTTGTCGATGAGAGAATTTCAGTCACTTGACGCATATGTTCGCCTAAAAGCAGAACAGTATTCAATTGATAGGCCGCTCGATGATTAGCGAGAGATGCACTTTCAGTTTGTGATTGTTCAGCTTGCCTTTGATCAATGTGTGCTTGTTGTAATTGTATGTGTGCGTGTTAAGTAGCTGTTACGTGCTACCAAATCCATGTATTGCCCTGTGATTTTATCTCCTGAAGAAAAAGAGGGAAAGAGGAAGAGTGGGGACGATGATTCTTAACGAGAATTTTGAATAGGAACAGTGGGAGAGCGAGTTGTTGCAACTATGATTCTTATATGAGAATTTCTCAAATTGGTTTTGTTTATCCTCATCTTTGACCATAAAAGTTCATTTATATGCCCTTCCAATACCATGTTTTCTTTGTTTCGTGTGTACATGACCCCGGATGAATATGCATCTATTTTCTCGCTAGTTTTTTTCTTCGCAGTCTGCCAATGATCGGGCGATTCGTATGTATGCTGCTCAACCGGCTTAGCCGATTGAACCTTTCTTTCTTTATTTCCAATATCTGCCATTCTGTCATCATCTTCAGTTGGTTAATGGTTCTCCCTTCCCTTTCCTCAACATAAGAACAAAGACCCGTCCCTTCTTTCTTAAATGAATTTTTTTGGTAGCTGGGTTCTTAAATGTGAAAATATGTATACTTCTGTCTCTAATATGTGCGAATCTTTTGCTTTAATTCTTATGGCATCCTAGCATGATATAAACTGTTAAATTGAGTACACGTGATCTTTGATGTGGTGAAATCTTCTTACAAGTGTCTTAAATTATCGATCAAAAAATAATGAACAAATTTTCAGAAAGCCTTTAAGCCAATTAATCTACGTACGTCATTTACTTCAATGCTTATAATTCGACCTGTTGCTTTCAAAGTTTCAATCTTTTGGAAGTAACCCTCCACGGTTCTAAGAAAAACTCAATATGAACAATCCAACGTTTACCAAGCTTCGAGTTTTCATGCTTAGAGCTATATTCCCTCAAACGTCAAACCATATCTGGTGTTATATCCCAACAAGGTCTTGATTTTGCTAAAGGTTTGCTGATTGTGAAAACTCTTTTCAAGGTTCCACTTCACCTGTCTGATATTTAAAGGTCTGTAAAAATCCAACTGATTGGTAAAGTTCATCTGACTCTTTCTGATATCGTGATTTACAGTTTTAAGTTGTCTCCTCCATCGGTTGAAACTGAAGACTGGTGTAGTTGTGATTGTTTCTGGTACTACTGCTAATTTGAGAATGAAGTGGAAGTATTCATACAAAATTTGGGTATACACTATTTCTGATCATGGAACTGCAACTGCTTTTCCACCTTGGCTTTCAACTTTTGTGATACTTTGAAAGATCAAGAAAATTTGTAGGGTTGATCTAGTTGTATCTTTGTTATATTGCTCGACTTGAATAACTCACAAGTCCAATGAGCTTTTCAATTTCTAAATTTGTATTGAAAAATCTCAATTCAAACTCCAACTCAAGTTTACGCGTAAATAATCAAGTTGAAGTCGAGCATGACAATTGAGTTCATTTTTTACAAGGTAAACGAGTTTAATTGAGCTTAACCGAGCTAGTTCAAAACAGTTTATCTCTAATTGAGTCGAGTTGGAAACCTCAATTTATGAGTCAAACTCCATCTTCAACGATTTAAGCTTGAATCGGCTTGGCTCAGTTACACCCTACCCCTATGCGTATCCATTATCCTAATCTTTACCTTGTCATAGCTATGTAACATATGCTAAAAGAACCAGTAACAAATTAATGTCCATTTATGATTTTGATTGTTAAGATGCTCTGTAAACTTATTCTTGCTGGTTCATAGGTTCTAGGCATGGTGGTGGGGCTTAATGATCTGCAATCATAAACGAAGAAGGAACTCCCAAGCTATTATTATTGGACCATTGATGTCATGGGAAATATATCTCCATAAATGTTGATGGAGGAGCTTCTCGGCTTTATCAAGGGTTTGCTATCATTGCCTATTTGCAATCTATGTTGTTTCTATTCTTTATTTTTATAAAGTATTCGTGTCTGACATATTTTCGAACATGGGTATTAGGATTTACTCTCCAAGGACCCTCACACCGAAGTCCGAGTAACATAGTCACTACTCTATTTGATAACTTGCTTGTAATATGCAGATGAAATTTCAGTTTCAAACTATTGCCGTAAAAGATCACAGAACTTCCTTTCCTGTAATGGTTTAGCGAAGATGGTTGAAATCTCTTTACAATAAAGCGTATTTGAGTCTGCCGCATCAGTGTACTTCAGTTTAAGATGGTTTAAATGAACCGAACCGGTCCACTTTTAAGTCAAAATTCAGTAACCGAAAACCAGTTTGGCCAAACATCACAATACCACACAGCTAATGAGACAACATTTATAGGAAACCAGCTTGAAAATGTCAAGCATCACAATACTACACAACTAATAACGGTATACTCTATAGTCACTCACTATATTACTACAAAAGCTCTTCAACTTTGGACCGATATACTAAACAATATCGGGTAATAACACTAGTTAAGAAGACGGTGTAAAACATCTAAATTTATTATTAGGGTGATGCCGGAACAGGATCGGTTCCAGAAACATGGGACGCTGCATCCTCCTTTGATATGGCAACAAAGTTGGCAGGGGCCGGCAGCCTCATACTGTCTCTCTTCCCATCTTTACTGGTAGATCTACTTCCATTCTGACTGGCACTTAGAGACAACCGTCTGCTAGGGGCTCCATTTGCTCGAGACCCCGCCACCTTCTTTGTACCAGCTGATCGAGTAGGGGTTGACCTTGAACTGAAGCTGGCTTCTTGTTGTTCTGTGATTTGCTGCTCGCCAAACTTCTTCTGATCCTGTAGGTTTATAAGTTACCACATTTGATAGAAAACGCATTTTAGTATACCTTATACAGATTGAAAGACCATGTTAGCTGAAGACTTTTTAGTTCACCTTCCTATCTAGGTCCATGCACAGTTATTTCATAGGTAGAACTAACAAATTAATCAAAAATTTACCCGAAGCCTCCTTTTCTCTTCTTCCCTTTCTTGCCTGAGGATGGCATATTCATCTAGCATGGCAAGGAGAGGCACACCATCGTATTTAAATGCTATGCCACGATTTTCCTCCCAAGCTCGTGTTTTGGCAACCAAAGTGTCGACCATACCTAAATAGGCCAATAAAACCAGATAATACAGAAAAAGTCTAGCTATACATGCATGCTAACTGCTAAGCAGATCTAAAGTAGTAGCATTATAGAAATTCTCCTCTACAATGTAAATGTCAAAAGAAAAATGCCGTCAATGAGTAGAAACTAGGAATAGTTGCTTTCAGGGGGTTATTTCAGTTTATCTCTTAAAATGGGTGCTTTATTCATGTCCCATATGGTGACCACCTTAAGGTATATGCACACATTACCTGGAATTTTGTTGACCAGAATACGAGCTTTCTCGGCACGCTTGAGATTTAAGTGTGCACCCCTGCTTGCATTATACCTGTTATCGTCCTGTTCCAGCAGGAAAATATCAGTGGAATGACACAATCGGGAAATGATAATAAGCTAAGCGCATTAGCATGGAAGATCACCATCAAATTTGCATTTTTAGTATTATTTTCGTAATTGTCCCCATATAAAGATAAAGGGTATACATTTTCAAAAGCTGATCAGCTAGTAGTCATTCATTCCATCAAAAAGAAAAAAAAAGCATTCATAAATTCTAAATCCAAAACATTTATCAGGGATGATCGAAATAAATAAGTTTCAGATTCAAGGATCAGCATCAAAGGGACTTATCAAACCACACCACTTCAGGCCAAATTCTCAATTACATCATGTTAGGATGAAAAAGTTGCACATATATTGTGGCCACATTATCAGAATAATTGCTGGTATCTTCAACTGCAAAAGTGCAAATCAATGCACTCATCGGTCCCACCGATAAAGGGAGAGAGGTGGGAGCAAAAAGCCGCAGAGAAAGCAAGGCTGAGGAAGATGTGAGTACCCGATTGTAGTCATCAAGCCAACTTTCTTCTTCACAAGCTGACATCCATTTTTCAACCCTATCCAATATTTCTTTTCTACTAAGGGCTTCTTCTTTTGCTTTTGTGATCTGATTATCCATATCAGCTAGTAACTCAGTAGGCTCAACATTCCCAGAATCAATCAGAGCCATAATTTTCTCCCTAGCAGCCTCTGGATCTATCTCTATATGAGCATGGGCAAATATCTCCTCAAGCTCCACTTGCCTTTTGAAAGCAAGTTCCTTCATTCTGCTTGACTTTAGCTGATCAAGCCTTTCAACTTGTACCTCTACCTTCAAGAGAAAAGAAAACGAACACAAGTAAGCAACTGTTCTAACTCAAACTTAAAAAACCAACATAGAAACTTGATTACTTGTTCAATCAGATCCAGAGCAAGAGCACCAGGAACAGTCACTTCATCAACTGAAGCAGAGATGTTGCAGGTAACATGGTCGAATAATCTCCTTTCATCTTCAGGAGCGTCCATCAAATTCCAAAGATCAATTAGCTTAGTTGCCAACTCCTGAAGCTGTAAAAAGAGGAACATGTTGATATAATATATTAACTCCTTGGAATAGAGGTATAAAGTTGAATGTAGTATAAAGCTCATATTTATGTCGGTAATAAAGAAAAATCCATTAGGTCATATAACTATATGCCTAACACTGACAGTATCACTAGAAAAGAACTATATTCAACAGAAATACCTTATGAAGCCTCTGCTTCTTATCTTCATTTAAATCTGAGACTGTCTTCGCCAACCTTAATAGTGTTTCATTGCTGATGTTTTTTGACTGCACATATGTGGCTTCATCTAAGCTTGGATGAACTTCAGTTATAGTACTAAAGAAGTTCACTCCAAGGACAGCACAGAGATCATGCACAGTGCTAACAAAATCAAGGACTTTATGTAGCCGGTCACTCTGCAATGTAATGAGAAGTTAGGGGGTATTGATGCACAAAAAGACTTAATGACAGAATATATAAGACAATGAATTTACCTTCTCTTTTTGAAGTTCTCGGAGCTTTGCTTGATATTCATTCAACTTCTTCAGAGACAAGTCAGACTCATCAACAGCGGGAGCACCGGTCTGCTCACTGGTGCTCCCTGCAATTTCCCCACATATTTTCTGAATCTGTGATTGTACATCGGAGAACTCCTTAACTCTCTCCTCTTTCTGTTTCCACAGCTGTTCAAGCGCAGGTGCTATAGCAGCAAGTTGCTCCTTGATTGTCCCTGATGCCTTAACAGTGTCCTACAGTAAACGTATAAACAACATTAATTTTCATACCAAGAGTATTACCTTCCTATACGATTATAGCATGAAATTAATTGATTACTCACAACGCCAAGAAAACTTTTGTCTCCAAGTGCTGCTACAAGTGTGGAAAGTTCAAGTTTAGCATCCGACAAGGTCAAAAGAAGTTCTGCTCTGGATTTTGCAGCCTGCTCAACCTTCCGCTTGTACACATCCAAGCACTCTTGTTCTATCTGCAGAAGCATCTTCTCTCTCTCTTCATCACATTCGCCAACTTCATTCCATATTTCCTTCAATCAATTGCAGGACATTTAACCTCCTATATTTCTGCATACAGATATGTACGAGAAACAAAGATTTTACGGGAGAGAACAAGGTTAGAAGCCACATTACTTGCAGTTTCTGCAGTAATGTGCCACGGGTGGTTTCTCCTAGAAGAGGGTTCTGTGCATCCATTACTGTCATTTACTCTACCACTCCAACCTAGCTGTACCAAGGGAAGCGTTTAAAAGACATCAAGGCAATTTTCTTTCAAACCTAGCGATACACAAGAAAAGAACAAACCAGAACTAGAGAACTACGCATATATATACCTTAATGACCAGCTAGAACAGCAGCTTACCAGACTAGATGACATACACCTAACAGCATAAGTCAAAAACAATTTCAAATCATCAAGTTAGGAGAAGTTTCATGAATTATAGTAGCCAAAGAATACCAAGGAAAAAGAAAAGAAAACTTTATAACGTAAAAAGCTATCAATCGCCGAGGGGTTGGAATATTTAAGTGATATAATCTGAAGAATTTTTTGTTTTCGGAAAATGCAATAAGAAGGCAAGCAGGGAGTATTGTTGAGTTCAGATCATAGTAGAAAAGAAGTAAAAAGTGCAATTAAACAAAGCAAATAAACTTGCAACAACAAAAAAAGGGTTGCTCTAACACTGAAATTGACAAGAAGTGATTAATCTTGAACAATTCTTGCAAGAAACAACAAAAAGTTCTTGAATATTTCACTTCAAGACCAATAAAAATGAATCTGATGGAAATTTACAAGGAAAAAAAGAGCACGAATCTTGCACTAAACATTCGGCGTTGAACAACAACAACAACCCAACTTCACAATTTCATTTCTTTCTCAAAATTCAGTAAACGTTCAATCTCACACTAAAAACCACAACGTTTCAAGAAATCAACTACAAAAAGTCAAGAATAACATCATATCTTTCTTAAAACCCAACTAAAAAAAAAGAAGGAAGGAAACATCCTTGGTTCACATTAAAATAAAAACAAGAGTAAAAAAGAAGCTGAAAATGCAGTGAGAACTATAAAGAAAGGGAGGAGAAGAGTTAATGAAGCATACCCAGATCCTATTTAAAGCAAAGGTTTCCGGGATTTTATTTTACTTTCAGAGCTATAGCTTTGATGTTTGCAGGGAGTGAGAGAAGCTTTGGTACAGGGAACAGAAACGATAAATGCGGACTGTTGTACGTTTTATTAACGTATCTACTATTCTTGATAAGTTCATTTCAGATCGTTAAGTACCCCTCCTTTTTGCGTTATTTACGAAGATAACACTGTCAGTGTGTCGGTTTCTAATCCTTTATTATTTGCTCATAAAAGTTGTTTAACGATTCGATTTAAAATGTATTAATCTTTGTAATGAAAATAAATCTTTTCGGTTTGAATTAAACAGACGTAGGAATGTGGTCTCCCCCGAAACAATTTCATTAAAGAAACAAAATAAATGAAAAACAAGAAATGGGCATATTTGGTAGTTAAGTTGAAGAAATAAGAAAACAAAACAATAAAGCAATGGGCGCAACCAAAGGCAAAGGGTGAGTGAGTGTCGATGGGGATCAAGAATCAAACATGCCTCAATCTTTACACGAAGCATCATTGGCATGCAAAAAGGCGTTGCTGTTTTCTAATACTTGCTGTCATGGTTAATCCTCTCATGGCCCTTGTCGTAACCGGTTTTCGTCCGGGCACGAAATATTATAATTGACGGGGAAATTGATGTGAATAAATGTTTTTGAAAATAATTTGAGAGTCGCCATCGGCCTTTTGGGTCAGGTAGGTCGAATACCTAAAAATTATTTTTTTTAAAAGAGTTTTAAAGAAAACACTAATAAAAAAATGAACTGATCTGCGTTTATAACCAAAAATTCATTCTTTTTAATAATAAAAAGGGATTCGTGGTCGGTTACATTTACGGAAGGATTAGCACCCCTACAACGCCCAAAATTGGTACTTTTTAATTATAAATTATCTCTATTATTAAAATTTAAAAATTCAAAATATATTTAATTTATAATTTTATTATTTCAAAATTAAAATATCAGAAAAGAACTTCTAGGTGCCTTAAGACAGCTCTTTTCTTTAATATTGATAATATTTTATATATATATATATTTTTTGATTTTAAAATAACAGAATAGGACATCCAGTTGTATTAAGACTGTCATTTTCTTCGATATTGAAAAATAAATATTAAAATAATTTATTTAAAATAAATATTTATTTATTATATATATATATTTATGACTATAATAAAAATATTTAAATATATATAAACAAGTAAAATAAAAAATACAATTATAGCCATATATTTAAAAGCAATAAACAATACTTAAAATAAAGGACTAAATTATAGTAAAATTAAAAATAAAAAAACCAATTCATAATTAATCAGAATTATGAGGATTAAACATGCTATTTTCTTATTTAATAATTTAGTGATTAAAATAAACTTATTTAAAATTCGAATATAAGATTAAAATAAATTAAAAATATAAACTAGGGATTAAAATATTATCTATTAAAATTAAGGGATTAAATCTGTTATTTATCCTAAATATATTATTTTAATATAAAGGACTAAAATAAAAGAAATTAAAATTCGAAGACTGAATTAAAAATATTATAAATTCAATTTAATGACTAAAATGTAAAACATATAAACATAGGATTACGGAAAGGGTTTAACATTTATAAAATTACACAAATAGCCCTCCCCAAAACGGCGTCGTTTGGGAAGGGCTATTTAATGCCCAAACCGGCTGGCCCTTCGGGCCAGCTATCTCATTTCTTTTTTTTTCTTTCTCTCTCAAACAGAGAGAGAAGAGTTCTCTGGCTTCTCTCTAAACTGAGAGAAGCCGTCCCGGTCAGCCACCGCTACCGGGCTCCGACCACCGCTGCGGCCACCGTTAATGTGGCCGGAAATTACAAAAATCCACCAAAATATAGATCGGGACGGTCTAAAACCGTTTCCGGTGTTCTTTTTCCTTAAAAAGCTCCCAATCGGAGCAGATCTACAAAAATACCTTCGGTTTTCGTTGTATCCGGCGAGGGTTGGGGTTCTCCGATGACAGAGTAAGCTTCTTTCCTCTCTTCTCTTCTTTTTTTTTTCTTGCTGCGTTGATGTTGACTGAGATCGTTGGTATATTTTTAGTATATCTTTTTTTTTCTCTGTTTTTTTTCTCCGTCTCTCTGTGTTCTCTGTCTCTCCGTTTTTTTTTCTGTCTCTGTTTTCGTCCTCTTTTTTCAGGTTGGGGTGGTGGCTTTTATAGCCACCACCGGTGTGGCCATCGGACCGGTCCGAAGATGGGGTCTCGGTGAGTCACCGGACTACCAGTGGTGACTCACCCCGTAGCCATGGCGTGGACGGCTGGCGTTGGAACTTCTGGAGCCTTCGGTTGGGACGTGGCAGCGGCGGAGGCGGCGAGATAGCAGCGGCGGCCGCGTGTCCCTAGGGTATCAGACCCTAGGGTTTCCATCTGGGGCAATCTGGACCGTTGGATCTCTCAGATCCAACGGCTGTGATGAGGCGGCCGACTAGATTAGGGTTAGGAAACCCTAACTGGAACCCCAAATGTTTAGGGTTTCTGGTTTGATCTGGACCGGTTCTGGTTTGTTTGTAACTGGGCCGGTCCAGTTGTAATTGGTCTGTAATTATTTATTTATATAGATTTATTTAATATATATTTAATAATAATAATAATAATGATAATAATAATAATAATAATAATAATAATAATGTGGGTAAAAAATTAGTATCTTCAGCTGCCCCTCTTTGCTCATTCTTGTGTTAACAAGAATAGGGCAAAGATGAAAAGATAATAAAATTTTTTATCCATTTGGCTTCACTTGATTATAATGGAGATATTGAATAAATTCTTCTCTTTCTTCAAATGAGTTCTTCTCATTATGAACTTTCTGCTGGGGATGATGATCCATCAAATGATGAATTCAAGCAAAAGATTGAACAAGTTCTTCTCATTATGAACTTCTTCTTCCTTCTTCAGATGACGAGTTCTTCTCATTATGAACTCTACCTGGCAATGTTGATCCATCAAATGATGAATTCAAGCAAAAGATTGAACAAGTTCTTCTCATTATGAACTTCTTCTTCCTTCTTCAGATGACGAGTTCTTCTCATTATGAACTCTACCTGGCAATGTTGATCCATTAAATGATGAATTCAAGCAAAAGATTGAACAAGTTCTTCTCATTATGAACTTCTTCTTCCTTCTTCAGATGAGTTCTTCTCATTATGAACCTTCTCTGGAAAAGATAATCCATCAATTTGATGAATTCAGAAAAAAGGTTGAACAAATTCTTCTCATTATGAACTTCTTCTTCCTTCTTCAGATGAGTTCTTCTCATTATGAACCTTCTCTGGAAAAGATAATCCATCAATTTGATGAATTCAGGAAAAAGGTTGAACAAATTCTTCTCATTATGAACTTCTTCTTCCTTCTTCAGATGAGTTTTTCTCATTATGAACCTTCTCTGGAAAAGCTGATCCATCAAGTGATAGAATTAGGCAGAAGGTTGAACAAATTCTTCTCATTATGAATTTCTTCTTCCTTCTTCAGATGAGTTCTTCTCATTATGAACCTTCTCTTGAAATGTCAATCCATCAAATGATAGATTTGAATCTTTGCTAAAATCTTTGAAATTCCTGTTAAAAATTCAACAAGAATAAAAATGAATGAAAATGCATCTATTTTGCAAATGCCTAAATATGATGCATGAATGTTAAGTTGTTTGATTTCAGATTGGTGAATTGAGTATTTCTTCAATTGTAAAAACCCAATAGATCTTTCTTCTTCAAAACAAAGAATCTATCATCTTTGACAAATATAAATGTAGATATAATGTCACAAAACCTCTTGAGAATAAAACTCAATAGTATAGGCTCTTGAAAAGCTTGTATTCAGGCAACATGTTGATTCTGATAACAATTCATCTGATTATGAAGTGACCTTTCAAGATGATTTCACAGATATCGATAGTTCTTCTAATACCGAGAAATCTTGACTTCTGATTCTGATGAAGAGAATAAACTGTTATACTTGACAAAAATGTGATTCTCAGAGGCTGAAACTTCAAATAGCTTTCTTCCGGTAAAAGATGGGAAGCCATTATGTGATGATCCCAGTTACAAGCAAAGGCGAAACTTGTGCTATGATTTTTGGGAAAGGAATAAGCAAAAGAAGCTTGAAAAGAAACTTCTTAATGAAGACGATCATGCAGTTCATCTTTTAATTCTAATGATTGGTTCTGTAGTTCTTACCAAACCAGATCAGATAACTCAAAGAACACTTCCAGAAGATGCTATGAGCACATTCATCTTCCAAATTCAATGATTGGTTCTGCCAAACCAGATCAGATAACTCAAAGAACACTTCCAGAAGATGCTATGAGCATATTCATCTTCCCAATTCAATGATTGGTTCTGCTAAACCAGATCAGATAACTCAAAGAACACTTCCAGAAGATGCTATTAACAAATTCATCTTCTAAATTCAATGATTGGTTCTGCTAAACCAGATCAGATAACTCAAAGAACACTTCCAGAAGATGCTATGAGCAAATTCATCTTCTAAATTCAATGATTGTTCTGTCCAACCAGATCAGATCACTCAAAGAACACTTCCAGAAGATGCTATTGGCAAATTCATCTTTCAGTTAATGTTTGGACTAGGATATCACAATACTTATTTGATGTAGAGCCAGAATTTGTAGATTCGAAGTATTTCCATGCTACTACACTGAAAAGGGCTATATTCATAATTCTGCCAATTAAGAACAGATTTTCTCTTATTTTGCTTCCTCCATGTGCTGATGCTTTTCCATTGACAAAGAAATGATGGCTTTCATGTGATCCAAGAACAAAGTTGAACTGTTTATAAACATGTACATGAAGTGCCAAATTGACAGAAAGGATCTATAAGGTTCTTGAAGCTTATGACAATGAGCTACCTTCAAGTGTCCATAAGTATGTTCTTAATGAGTGCTGAAAATGGAATCTAGTATGGGTTGGAAGGAATAAAGTTGCTCCACTTGAACCTGATGAGGTGGAAATACTTCTAGGTTTCCTTAAAAACCATACACAAGAATCTGTATAGAGATATGTTTCCCAGTGATATCAATGTCTTGTTTCTTTTTACTGGAATCAAAG